AAAATACTATTTCTGAGCTCATGTTGAGCATCATGTGCGGAAGGTAGGATTTACGATAAGGTTTAGAAACCATTACAGGAAACTATTGCTTCAGCTTTCAATGCAAATTAAATATGTATATATGTATGTATATGAGCTATGAACAATTTTGGCGCACAACCTAAAAAATTCAGTTTTTATTTTGAATTAGTACATTTGTTGGATGTGTGAAATATTTATAAGTTTTCGGCAAAGTGAGAAGTTATACGAAATAATATATTTACATATATTTATTGAAATAAAAAATCTAGATCTACTGGCAGTTCAGTTATTCAGACGGATAGAATCATGTAACTGGTATTTGGGAAGTAGGCGTCATTTTAGTCCTATTCCAAAATAATAACTATCTTACCCCATAGCATAGCAACCTACTTATGTATATGTATTTCTTACCGTTTTATATTAAGCTAAAAGGTTTTTGAAAATAGTAATTTTGAGAGAGTTGGCTTCAGTAATTACTAAAATATCGCAGTTTTTGTATATTCGTGATTGTTGTTAGATTTTTCTCAACATCAACATCATTCATTCTTAGCCTACTACCAACTATACCCTATTTCAAACTCAATATGTTCAGTTATACTTAGTAGGATAAAGTTATAAAGTTATAAGTGGGCGCTACCACGCCCATTTCTAAAATTCCATAATAATATTATTTTAAGAGATTATTGTGAGTATTATTTGAGGGCGATTAGTTGAGTAAATTAGGGCCCTTAAATTTTGAGTTATCGAAATTTCAAGCATTTCTCTAATTTACCGTTATATGAAAAATAGGCGTAATTTTAGTCCGATTTCAATAATTTTCAATGTTTTCCTTTCATGTGGCAAGCACAATAACCATACCGAGTTTGGTACAAATTGGCAGAACGGTTAGCGAGATACATATATGTGATCACAAGTGGGCGGTGCTACGCCCATTTTCCAAAATTTTGTCATAAACGTATTTCTTGGTAAAGAATTGTAGCAATCATCAATTTTGAATAAATTAGCTTCAATATTTACTGATTTATCGAAGATTTTGTATTTGTCGAAATTACCGTTATATGGGATGGGGGCGTGGTTATTGTCCGATTTTAGAAATTTTCGGCCAGTTGGTATGCTGTACCAGGACCAACAACTGTGCCAAGTTTGGAAGAAATTGGTGTAGCGGTTACCAAGATATACACATGTAACCATAAGTGGGCGTGGCTACGCCCATTTGCCAAAATTTTGTAATATTCTTATTTTTCGTCTAAAACTCATTGCAAATATCAATTTTGAGTGAATTATCTTCAGTAGTTACTAAAATATCGCAGTTTTCGTTTTTCTGAAAATTACCGTTATATGGGAGGTAGGCGTGGTTATTGTCCGATTTTTAAAATTTTCAGCCATTTAGTATGCTGTACTAAGGCCAACAACTGTGCCAAGTTTGGAAGAAATTGGTGCAGCGGTTACCAAGATATACACATGTAACCATAAGTGGGCGTGGCTACGCCCATTTTCCAAAAATTTTTAATATTCATGTTTTCCGTCTGAAACTCATTGTAAGTATCAATTTTGAGTGAACTATCTTCAGTAGTCACTAAAATATCGCAGTTTTCGTATTTCTTAAAATTACCGTTATATGGGAGGTAGGCGTGGTTATTATCCGATTTCGCCCATTTTCAATACCATCCGTCCCACGCCCAAAAGAAGTTCACGTACCAAGTTTCGTTAAGATATCTCAATTTTTACTCGAGTTATCGTGTGCACAGACGCACGGACGGACGGACGGACGGACGGACGGACGGACAGACAGTCACCGCTTAATCGATTTCTCTTTTCATTCTGATCATTTATGTATACATTTGTCTATATCTATCTCGATTCGTTTTGCCTGTTACAAACAACCGTTATGTGAACAAAGTTATAATACCCTTGTGCACAAGTGCGCTCGGGTATATATATAAATAGAGGTGGTAACCTTCATTCGTTATTTCTGTTTAAAAGCTATTATTATTAAAAATTATTAACCTTTCCATTTTTTATTTACCTAAATCACCTAATTTACCCACCTAAATTATTTCTTAAAAATACATGACATCCGCATTCGCATCCGCATCCGCGGATCTTAGCTATTAAACATCCGCATTCGCATCCGCGGATGTCTAAAATTCCACATTCGCAAAATCCCTAATATGTACATTAATAAATATGTAAAAATTATGGAAAAATGCAATTGCCAACAAAAAAATCGATTTTTTTTTTAATCAATACCGCAGTTTTCTAGCTGCCTTAGTTTTTTCATAAATTCACTTTAAAGACGGACACATTGACCAAAAAAAATAACGTACAAATGCATTGCACTCGTTAACTTCAAAGTTATTTTTGAGTTTTATGAACATATGCATGTATAAAAGTAAGGTATGTAAACCGGTAACACAATTTAATTGGTTTAGCTTCCTACATAAAGAAGATATATCGCAAAAACTGGTATCTGAACAATCAGTGGTGTAAGAGATAAAGCTTATACGGCATAGATTTTGACGATTTTCTCAGTAGTCTTTGTATTATTATTTATAAAATAGCTTACGAAATTTATCGGTTTTAGCTGTCCAAATAAAGGAGTTTTACAGTAAAACCCCATATCTGAACAATCAGTTGTATGGAGGCAATAAATAGGTTATAGTGACCCGATCTTTGTTAATTTTACTGTAAACTTTCTGTTGATAATGAGTGAAAATTGTGCGAAGTTTCATGTTTCTAGATGCATATATGGAGAAGTTATAACAAAGAATCTCATATCTGAACAGTCAGTTGTATGGAGGATATAGGTTATAGAGACCCGTTCTTCGCCATTTTCACTGTAAGTGTGTGTTTGATAATGGGTGGAAATACTGAGAAATTTCATGTTCCCAGCTGCATAGATGGAGGAGTTATAACAAAAAATCGCATATCTGAACAATCAGTTTTATGGGACCTATATGTAAAAGTGACCTAATTTTTGTTATTTTCACTGTAAGTATTCTGTTGATAATCGGAGGAAGTATTGCAAAATTTCATGTTCCAAGCTTAGGGCTGCCAGACATCCTGAGTTTCCAGTACTTGTCCTAATTTAAACAAATTGTCCAGGTGTCCTGGTCCACACTTAAATTGTCCTGGTTTTTTAATGAAGGTCAATGCAGAAACCCATCTAATGTTTGGCAGACTTTGCTTTGAAAAAAGGTTAAACTTTCTGTCGATAATCGATAATAAAACATTTTGTCTAACGTATTGAACAATATCTGGTGGGTTTACCTTCTTTCTGTTTAGTTTATTTGGTTAAAATCTAATTTTGTATCTTCAGGGGAATGCTTTCGCTACTCAAACAAGAGCTTCCACAAGGGATATTGTAGGACGTCCTTTAAGTTCTTTAAAGCTGTTTTTAGTTCATAAAAATCATACTTCTTTAAGGAATTTAAATATTTAAGGTTTAGATCAAATATATTTTATTGAGACTTAAAAGGCATACTAAATCCTATTTGTAATACTATATAATATAAATATATACTTAAGTACATTTGCGTAACGTGTAAATAGGAAACCCCTTTCAGTCCTTATTGGGTAAGTCTTTCAGAATGGCTTAACTTCAGACAGCCTACCTTAACAAGATGGTGCACAGTGGGGCAAAAAAAGGCTGCTGTGGACAAATCAATTTTGAGAGCCCAAATATGAACCGATTTCTAGTTCTTTTTTTTTAAATAAAGATAACTAAATTTCGCGTCGATCTATCCTTGGCGATTTTTCAAATAAGCTCTGGTTTTTTATTTATTTATGTTGAAAAATGAAAAAAAAAATCCCGTTTGAACGCTTCCACTTTTTTGGAAAATACTTGAAATTAATTTCAAATGCCTGCAATTATTTAAAAAACTATTCATAAACATTTTTCCATAGGAAACATGTAATTAAAAAATATTTTTAATTTGCCATCTCTACTGATATATATTTTGAAAGCCGTTTTTTTCTAATCGAAAAACTCGAAAACGGCTGTACCGATATTTTTTAAATTTTTGACATCGACTCTAGACCCTCAAAGGATGATAATAGAAGAAGAATAATTTCGATATATCATATATCAATGGGCGTGGCATCTCCCATACAAACTAAAGTTTTCACACAACATATCCCTGGAAGTATGCATCGTAGAGAGCTGCAACTTGGTATAGAGATATATAATATCAACGCCAAACTCATGGAAACAAATGGGAGTTATGGAAAATGGGGGCGTGGCGCCTCCCATACAAACTGAATTTCTCACAATAGAATGTGTATGTGATCATCCTTTCAGGGTCTACAGTTGATGTCCAATATTTCAAAAATATCGGTGCAGCTGTTCTCGAGCTTTTCGATTAGAAAAAAAGGCTTTCAAAATATATATTAGTATAGATGGCAAATTAAACATATTTTTTAATTAAATATTTCCTTTGGAAAAATGTTTATGAATAGTTATTTAAATAATTACAGGCATTTGAAATTAATTTCAAGTATTTTCCAAAAAAGTGGAAGCATTCAAACGTGAAAGTTTTTTTCTTTCATTTTTCAACATAAATAAATAAAAAAGCAGAGCTTTTTTAAAAAATCGCCGCAGATTAATCGACGCGAAATTTAATTGTCTTTTATTAAAAAAAAAAAAAAAATGGAAATCGGTTCAAAGGTGGGCTCTCAAATTTGATTTGTCCACAGCAACTTTTTTTGCCCCACTGTGCGCCGTACTAATAAGCTCACACTCTAGATCGAGGCACTAAGGAGATTTCACCATGATAACTATGTATACGAAACTTTTCTTATCCATTTATGCATTTTGCTTATGTTATAATTTTGGGTTTATTTATTGTCATACAAATCTAAGCTCTAGACATAACTTTGCGACATGGTAGTTATTTTTCATCAAATTGCATACGTGCGTATGGGTGCAAATTAATACCCAATATTAATACATACTTATGCAGTTTTAGGATTTCCAAATAATGTATTTGCCATATACCCAACTGCCCGATCCAACGGAAAAGTTCGAGATCTATGAGGAAATTGCTCAAGGAGTCAACGCAAAAGTATTTCGGGCAAAGGAATTGGATAATGATCGGATGGTAGCTTTAAAAATTCAACACTATGATGAGGAACACCAAGTATCCATTGAAGAAGAATATCGAACCATGCGTGATCATTGCAATCACCCGAACCTTCCAGAATTTTATGGTGTTTATAAACTTGCAAAACCAAACGCGCCTGACGAAATATGGTTCGTCATGGAGGTAAGGAATATTCCGACATACATACTATTTAATAATTACTTATGGATGTGTGTAAATATGTGTGCTAAGATTCTCAGTGAGAAAATGTAATGCATGGTAATCGAAAAAATAATCAGTAAAATAGCCGTTTTCACATTCGAAAATGCATTTTTCCCCACGGCGATGTCGCACATTCAATTTTGCATTTGATTTAGGCTGTGTGCGAGTACGTTTAAATTGCTACCTTAATAGAGACAAATCCTAAATCTCTGGAAAGTGTCGGTAATGCAGTGAATAGGAACAATTAAGAGTTTTTGTGAGCATACCTTTCAACCTAAATTGAACTGTGAAATATATGTATTTGGGCGAGCGATTAACCGAACTATTATTTTTTCGGAAGTTTTAATTAATTTTTATCATTGCTATGGCGCAAAAATAAAATAATCAGAAAAATGTCAGTATAAATAATTTTGATTTTGGAACAAGTAAAGAATAGGGACCGTTGAGCTAAAATAATGAAAAAGTGGGTGTGGTTCGCCCATTATACCTGAATATTCCTTACACTTATACCATATATTAAATATTTTTTTCCGGCAAATTAAAAAGGGCGATACTAAGGGGTGTATAAGTGAAATTTTCAATATTTTTAAAAGCTTATTTTTCGAAAATTAAACAACCAATTTTCAAAATGTGGATATGGTTGGAAAGGTAATTATAAAACCTTTCATTTATAATGTCTATCTGTATATATAGTACGTACATATTTGAAGAAAAAGGAAAAAACGAAATTATGCATTTTTTAATTAAAAATTTGTGTTTTTCTTAAAAAATCGTAATCAATTATAAGATATTTTTATCAGAACAAAGCAATATTTAAGAAATAGTGAAAATTTGGAAAAAATCTATCTTTTAAGATAGTTAATTACGTATTTTTTCAAGAGAAACATACATCTTTGCATAAAAAAATTGAGTTTTTTTAGTTTTTTTTCGAAATATGTTGCATATAGTTTATGCATTAATATACGTACATATCATGAGAGGTATTTCAATTATCTTTACAACTATATCCACTTTTTGAAAATCGGTTAGACTTTTTTCTAAATATAAGATTTTGAAAATATTGAAACTTCCACATTTATCACCCCCTAGCACCGCCCCTATTATTCAATACTAAAATCAATTGAAGAAGTGGACCATTCCCCCGTTTTTTTTTGTTGTTAGCTGAACGGGCCCCATTCTTTACTTATGTCTAAACAATTTAGGTTATCAAACGAACTCGCACAAGCAGCTGTTTTCCTAAATTGTAGCAGTGCTGGAAATTTCCAGTGGAATATTATTTTAGGTGCTAAAATTTAGGCCAACTCGCACACAGCCCTGATATGAATTTTTTGGAACTTTTTGGATAGATTAGAATGCTGATTACATAGTAAACAGTAAAATAATCTAGAACTCATAAGAAATACATTATATTATTTATCACGCATGTAATGCATTACTACTTTTCCCACTGGGATATGTATGTTCGAGTATAAAACATCATTACAAACGTTTTAAGAGTAACATCCAAACAGGCGTGATTTACAACCATGGTGGTCATTTACAAGTTGTACTCCGTAGCGACTAAAGCAGGGATCACACGATTTGTACATTTGTAAAGATTTGTACATTTTGGCAGTTACAGAAAGGTGTCGTCTGGAAATTCTTTTATTGAGCTGAACTCAAATTTCTAAACAACACCACTCTGTGGCTGCCAAAGTCTACAAATCTGTACAAACGTACAAATCCTGTGATCCCTGCTTAAGGCATCTCGTGAGTTACAATTTAATAATAATTTTTTTTCCTTTGTACGATATGGCAGCACAAAATACGTATGCAAGTTTCGTTAACTCAAGCAACATTGCTCATTATACTTCTTTGTATCAATGTTGGTTTCATTATCTTTTATACGTCAGTCGCTGTATTGAAGTATGCAAATAAAGACCGAGATTATTCCCTTTCACAACAAACATTGACGACCGTACCAGGACAGTGAAGCGAGCAACAAATAATATGACGGAAAGTAGTCGATACATAAAAAGGTGCTCGCCGCCGTCTATTGAATTTCAAGTACATAATAAAAAGGTGAACGAGTTCATCTGCGCACGTGGTACCATTACATAACTCCATGTGGCATAACTCCAATTTAAAAATTTGAAATTATGTCACTCTTACACAGTGACAGAAAGCCAATTTTTTTCTTGGGGTTATGTCATTTCCTATAAAGTGTCATAACCCCAATTGGGATAATGTCACTTTTGAGCCTAAAGCATATTTTCCAGCTCTCAAGAAAAAAAAGGCATATAAAACACATTCAAGAAATCAAAAAGAAATTTTCTATTAAACTTTCTTCTACGCAAAATAACTTACGCCACTCTTTTCCGGAAACAAAGAAAGCCGAATTCTACTTAGTGAGGCTTATAATTCCTATGCACGGCCGAAGCCCACTTACACCCCCTATTTTAGCCAAAAAAAGAAAGAAGAATTCTACTTAGTAAGGGTTATAAATCCTAAGCGCGGTCGATGGCCTATAGGCGTTGACAAGAATATAATGTAGACAAAGCCAGCTTGTATGCCCCTGTTTTGAAAAAAAAATTATTATTACTCTTGCACATTCCAAATTCTTTTGGTTTGCAAAATCCCATGAGGGATCTGGAATTTTGTCGCCTTTCGTTTGGAAATATGTCACTTCTGTACCGGAGTCTAGCATAGTTAAAACATCCTTACCCTTAACCTTTGTTTGCGAGAAAAAGCGGGTATCTCTTTTCAACGGGACAATTGTTGATATTATTTTATTATGGATTCTCTTATGTTTTTCTCTTTTCTCAATTTTTGTTTCAAAAAGTTTCTATTTTTACTTTTTTCTTTGATCGTTTAACAAAACATTTTCTTTCTATCTTTCTTTGATGTAAACTCTTTCTTCTAAATTCACCTTTTGATCAGTCTTTTCATAGTTTTTCCTCTTCAGAATTCAAATATCTTGTTGGTTTCCGGATACTTCCCCTCCTGGCTGGAGCTCCTGGCAATCTCCTCCAGAGTGGCGTTTCCCTTTTCAGTCTTGTATACACAGAAGGACGTATCACCACCACAAGCAAAACACACCATATTACGAAGGGACGATTTACAATTCTCTTTTTTCGCTTCAGACGGATTTTTGACAAAATAACCAACAGGTATACCACACTTAAAACATTAAATGGAACGGGGACGAACAATAGACATTAATGGTTGGTTATTCGTTTTACAAGCACTTGGTTCGCCGGACTGGCCTATACTTGGCCTATTGTTACCGGCTTGCTGGTTGTACTGCAACTCCTTCAGGAGAGGATTATGGATAGCCTCTATCGATTTCCGGCTACTCCCTCGTATTATAACTGCGCATCTGGATATATTAACTCATTTATGGCTCACGACCTTCTCTTGTTTTCTTTGCGTTCTGCCCGCCTGCATTCGGCTTTTAGTTCTGCCAAGGTATCCGTTCTCGAAGCAAAGGTCAAGTTTGCAAAGTACGGTTTTAGATTTCCTTTTATTATACCCACTAACTCTTTTTCAGTAGTGCGATTCACTAACTTTTAACAATGCGACTTGTCGAGTTGTAAGCTAACATTTTTTGTTGTTTGCAGTAACATTGTGCGATTCACTAACTGTGCTGCCGCTAATAGGCACAAATCCGTTGGATATGCCGAGGCGCATATGGAAGAAAATGCGCAACACCCTCTACAAAAAAAATTCTAAAAAATCAACGGTAACTTCTAGCGACTTGAAACTTGCGCTTTATTAGACTAAAATTGTATGGGCTACAAAACTGCATACCCATGAATCTTATAAACAGGGAACGGATTTTTAGGACCTAAAAACCTATAAAAAAGGCAAAATAAAATAACGAAATAGGTTGGAAAAGGCAAAATAAAATTGCGAAAAAGGCAGGAAAATGCACTAGGTATTGCGAGAAAGGCAAAAAAAGGCAAAACAAAATAGCGAAAAAGGCAGAAAAAGGCACTAGGTATGGCAAAAAAAGCAAAATAAGGCACTAAAAAAGACAGAAAATACGAAGAACAATCAAAAAATACATTTATTTTAGAAATGTTTATATTACAAATAAAAAGAGAAAAACTATGAACTAGTTTCATTATATGAAAAATTTGTACTTTGAATCTTTGACTATTTTATTCTTTCGAGTTTCTAACTCATAAAACTTTAATCTGTATAGGGGGCAAAATTCGCCAAGTGTACCAGGTGAAAAAATGTATGTCACCGATTTTGTTGAAACTCTACTAAATTGTTGTCATTGATACAAGTAATCAATGTTATGAAGGATTTTTCTTTATCTTTTTATACCCGAGCGCACTCGTGCACAAGGGTATATTCATTTTGTTCACATAACGGTTGTTTGTAACAGCCAAAACGAATCGAGATAGATATAGACAAATGTATACATAAATGCTCAGAATGAATAGAGAAATCGATTAAGCCATGTCTGTCTGTCCGTCCGTCCGTGTACACGATAACTCTGTACACGATAACTGTAAAACGCCCACTTCCCATATAACGGTAATTTTCGGAAATACCGAAACTGCGATATTTTAGTAACTACTGAAGATTATTCACTCAAAATTGATATTTACAATAATTTTTAGACGAAAAATAAGAATATTATAAATTTTTGGAAAATGGGCGTAGCCACGCCCACTTATACATGTGTATATCTTGGTAACCGCTACACCAATTTCTTCCAAACTTGGCACAGTTGTTGGCCTTGGTACAGCATACTAAACGGCCGAAAATTTAAAAAATCGGACAATAACCTCGCCCACATCCCACGGTAACGGTAATTTAGAGAAATACAAAATCTTCGATAAATCAGGAAATTATAAAGCTAATTTACTTAAAATTGATGCTTGCAAGAATTCCTTACCAAAAAATACGTTTATGGTAAAATTTGGGAAAATGGGCGTGGCACCGCCCACTTATGATCACATATATAT